GACCGCCAAAGGGGTCGCGACCCACAGGTTGAGAACCGCTGGCTAGACATTTCATATATATGTAGCCTTTTGTGTCTGGCTTTTTCACTTAATGTTTTCAACATTCATATGGTAACATGTGCGAGTATATCTATTTTAATCTGTGAGTACAACCACCTTTTTAAAAATAGACTTTATTTTTTAGAGCAGTTTTAGGTTCACAGGATTGAGCAGAAAGTGAAGAGTTCCCATATACTACTTGGGTCGAATGATAAAAGTATGTTTCATTCTGTAAGAAACTGCCAAACTGTCTTCCAAGGTGGCTGTACCATTTGCATTGCTAACAGCAATGATGAGAGTTCCACTTCAACAACCATTTTTAAAAAACTGTTCTAACTGAACTGGACGCACAGAGAAGTGCACGTATCCTACGTGGGCCGCTTGGTGAAGACCTACAGCCTCTAGGTCAAGGAACAGAACATCACCAGCGCCCAAGAAGTCCCCGTGGCACTTTTTTATTTTAAGTTTTTATTGATTTCAGAGAGAGGTAGGGAGGGAGAGGGAGAGGGATAGAAACATCAATGATGAGAGAGAATCACTGATCCGCTGCCTCCTATATGCCCCACACTGGGGATCAAGCCCGAAAGCCAGGCATGTACCCCAACCAGGAATCAAACCATGACCTCCTGGTTCATAGGTCGACACTCAACCACTGAGCCACTCCAGCTGGGCCCTATGACACATTTTAACTAGTTTCTTATTACTAGAATAACACCTATTTATTGTAGAAGTTTAGATGATGCAGATAAAAAGAATATAATACAAATTACCCATAATCCCACCACGGAGATAACCAAAGTTTAACATTCTGGTATAGCTAAATCTGTTTTTACAAATATTGGATCCTAGTGTTTCATTGCATCCTGTTCTGTAATGGCCACATTTACATGTCCTAAATGCTATAATTTTTTAGTGCTATAATTCTTTCAATGGTAGCTGATGTTCCCAATCATTCCCCCCGCTCCACTCTTGCCTTATATTGGCATCAATGTGTTTCATTTCTTTTCAGATCCCTAAGGATTCATCCCTTCTTCCTTTAGTCGAAGCTCCCGAGTGCAGCCTGTAGAGGGCAGCAAACCGGCACCTCTCCGCCAGCCTCTGGAAGTGGGCAGGTTTCTGAGCCAAGGAGTTAAATCTTTAGGTTGATGAGATTCGCCCCTGAAGAAAGACTTTTTCAAAGCAGCAGCTTCTCCTGCTAGGAAAACTGCTTTCAGTCCCTTCTTATCTCATCGTGTGTGTGTGTGGAGAGAAATGGGGGAAGGGAAGGATTTAATTTATAATTCTAAATGGTTAAATGTCTTTCAGTGAACTATTTTGGTATATTTTTGAAACGATGAACTATGCTATGAATTAATTGTTTATTAACCAAGGAATAAAGGAATCATTTTTAAATAGCACACCAGGTATGTGGCTGTACGTTTCTATTTTTTAATCAGCTAAAAGCAAATGGGACTGGATGACATGGTTCTCTAAGGATTTCTGCTTCATTTCAGCCCGAAAGAGACTCCTGCCTTGAACCTGGTCTGTAGGGAGGAAACAGTGAATTCCCAAGTGGGATCTTAAGTGGATTTGTTTCTGCCGGGGAAAGCAGCAAGACTGGTTTGATGACTGCATTAGCCAGAAAGAATCCTTATACCGGGTTAAGCTTTCTGCACAATCTCATCAAAATGTGAGCGGACGGAAGAATCGCAGCCCATGCTGGGCAGTCCTTTGTCTACAATTAGGGCGAGCAGTGCACGCTCATCCTGCACCTGCCTGGGAAGCAGGTTTCAGTTAACCGGGGTGACCAGGATCCGAAAACAAAGAGTTCTTCCCACCTGCACAACTGTCGGTTTGCCCGTGGCCCTTCATGAACTCTGAAAAGGTGTACGGTTTTGTAAATCTCACTCCAGCTTTTTGCACATGGAGATCCTAAAGTATTTTGAACCAGGTTTGCTCAGTTATCCAAAGTCAGTACCAATAATTGTATTCAACCTGGGTCTTTTGAATCTCAAGCCATTGTCACCCACAAATCTCATAATGTTACTGACAGACACTATATTAAGGTGCTGAGGCCAGAAAGGTACAACCTCTTGCCCTCAACTGGCTCACAGAGGGTTGCTACCTCCCCGCCCTTACTCTATACCTGAAATGATACAGTCATGCGTGGAATGACAGAACGAGGCAATTTAGTCCACCCCCATTCCTTTTTGAGGAAATTAAGATCCAGACTTACCTAAGGCCATAGTACGTAGTTTCAGAGCCAGGACTAGGACCCAAGTAGATTTTCCTCAATTCTTTTTTTTCTGACTTCTAGAGAGAGAGAAGGAGAGGGAGAGAAAGAGAAACATCAATGTGAGAGTGACTGCCTCCTGCACGCCCCCTACTGGGGATAGAGCCCTCAACCCAGGCATGTACCCTGACCCAGAATCGAATGGGCGGCAACCTTTGGGTGCATGAAGCCCAACCAAGTAAGCCGCACCGCTGGGGCCCTCCTGGTTCTTTTCCTTTTACACAACAAGACGCATTTGAAGATGATGGTTAGAAAGAAGTCAGCCTGAAGTAGCAGCAGAAGCCAGCAGTGTACCCGGCCAGGGAGGCCAGGAAGGGTTCAATGTGGGGAGTGGAGAGTAGGTGAGGCTGCCAGGGGGAGAAGGCAGGCTCTTTCACCCCCAATGTTGGCAGCTTCACCAAACCAAGTGAGGGCCTTAGGAATGCTCCTTTTGTTCATATTTCCTCCCGAGACGGAATTCTTTCCAAAACATGTGTCTCAAGAGGAACTTGACATTTTCCTGAAGCTGATGGTTCTCACGTCTCCTCACTTTACATCTTTAGCTTCCCACCAGCATGGCAGCTCCGCGTCCACTCTAAGTGCCCTCGGTCGGAATAACAAACACCTTCTAGTGACTCTCCAGCTTGTCACCGCCCTGGTTACATGGTTCCAACTGCTTAAGCCCAGCGGTGGACAGGACTTTTGGCCAGGCTCTCCCTCAGTTGCTTCCGAGTTTCTGCTCTGCTATCACGGCTTTAGTAAGTAGGAGTCACAAAGGCAAAGAGGAACATAACACTGGAAAGTTCCCACTAACTCGTTTTCTTTTATGCTGTCATAAGCTGCACATCCTCTCTCGCCTCTCCCTCAAACACACTCTATCCCCAGCGCCGTGTGAGGCATTTTACAGGAGCTCAGTAAGCTTTAACTTCACAGGAGATGCTGGGGTGTAAACAAAAGCCAGTCTTCAGTGAACACAGCTTTTCCTGTGATGGTCAAAGGAAGGACTGATAAGAAATTCAAGACTCTGAGGTCAGGTGACCTGCTGTCCCAGACTGCCCCCTACTGAGGGGTTCCCTGCGATGCGGGACTTTCAGTGCTCTGACTTGGGTGAGCTGGTCACCCCGCTGCTGGGCCTGGCAGAGCTGCCCCCAGAGATTAGTTAGTTCCAGACATTCTCCTTGCCGAGATTCAAGATGGTGCTCTAAAATCCAGACTTTCCATTTCATTTCCCCCCACGAAACAGATTTCTACTTCATGAGGGAAAATTAAACTCATCCAAGAAAGGTGAGTTTTTCCCCTCTCAATTTATTAGGAAAGGAGGACGCAGGATTGACAGACTTGGCTTGCCATCTATCTCTTGCTACGTACTAGTGAGGTGAACCTGGGCAAGTTGCTTTATCTACCTTCAGTCTTCTTATAAGTGGGGATACCAGGAGCCCCTCATTGGGCTGCTATGAAGCCAAGCAGGGCAATGATGCGTGTGAAGCTCACAGCGGAGCCGGGCACACAGCAGACAGATGTCAGCCACTGTCACTAGAATATGGAGGAGGGTGGGAAGGAAAGCCGTCATACCTGCCAAACCTTAGTGCCCTATTTACTCCTTTAACTAGACCAGCCGTGGGCAAACTACGGCCCGCGGGCCGGATCCGGCCCGTTTGAAATGAATAAAACTAAAAAAAAAAAAAAGACTGTACCCTTTTATGTAATGATGTTTACTTTGAATTTATATTAGTTCACACGAACACTCCATCCATGCTTTTGTTCCGGCCCTCCGGTCCAGTTTAAGAACCCATTGTGGCCCTCGAGTCAAAAAGTTTGCCCACCCCTGAACTAGACTCACGGGAATCTTTCCCAGAGCCACATTTCCCTTTTGTGTACCTGTTTGTTTGTTTTTTAGAGTACAAAAGTTTTATTATTTTTAAATATATATATATATATCTACACACACACACACTCTAGAGGCCCAGTGCACAAAATTTGTGCAGTGTGTGTGTGTGTGTGTGTGTGTCTGTGTGTG